GAGATTATGCCCAGGGTTATGCCACAAATATATTTTTTTATCATCAATAAGCTTCAAGTAATGGCTTCAGCCGAAGGGATCTCTGTTATCGCTGAAGGGGACTGATAAGTAACGAGGTAATAAGCGTTGATTCATGGCGCAGTGATCGGATTAAAAAAACATATTTTTTATTGTCAAATTGAAATGCCAATGGTTTGTAAGAAATTATAAAGATCTTAGCACATGATATAACGTAATTAACATACTAAAGTCGGTCAAAAGTCTGGCAAGATGTGTACAGATTGTCAAAACCAAGAAAAAATTAGTATACGAAAAGGCTTCTAGGCTCATGGTAAAGCACAAGAATTAGTTTTAATTCTATTAATTTTCAAAGAATAAAAAAAAATAAGCTTACACAATATGCATAGTTAAACAGTTTGCAGAATGTAGAGTATCTTATAAATGGCCAACCACAAAGCCTTGAGGTGATTCCCATGGCACTCTTGATAAAGTTAAGACTGAGTCCATATTTTGAGGATGAATAGCTTGACTGCATCTTTCCACAATGCTTTTTAGTGTGCATGTGATGGAGGTTTGTTAATATTTGAATTTAACTTTGTGACCATTCTGACATTTGCCAGTGACTGAGGGTGTATTAGTAACTTAAATCCGATTTTGAGCCAATCCTCATGGAACATAGCCAGTTTCAAGTGGATTTAGAGGGAACAATGGCCTTATAATTTAAAAAAAAGGGCACTAGTGTGTTCAGAAAACATCAGTCATTATTCTAGAGTATTTTTTTAGAATTACATTGGATTGGGAAGACTTTTGTTAACAGGTGCTATAGTCTATAAGCTGAAGTTAAGGAACAGTAATGGAGGGAAGTTAGCGTCACTTGTGAATCATATCATTGATGAAAAACTCTGATATGAAATGAGATAAGAGTAAGATAAATATCATTGCTCATGGAAGCGTGTAATGCCCACTTTAGTTTTGTTTTGTGTAATGTGTATACATATAGATATCTTTCTCAAGTGCTCAGCCACCAAGGAGTTAATTAGCAGGCCTTTCCCCTTTCCTTGATTTTTTTTTTTTTTTTTTTTGTTAATATCAATGCTGTTATTTTTATTATAGAGATTCACTATTGTAGTGTTAACAATACCAGTTTGGATTTTTGGCTCCCATAGTGTATTTTATAGGAGCTGCCCAGCCTACAAACTCAAATCTGAGGTAGCAGTTCTTAGATTCAAACTAGGCTCCCCTCTCATCTCCTCAAGAAGTCTTGGCATCTCCTTCTGTATCTCTTTCCTGTACCCCAAACCATCCTATCTCTACTCCCTTTCTTCCTCAGTCAAATTCCTTTTCCATTCTAAATTTAGATACCCCAATCTCTACCACTTCCCCTGTCTACCCCACCTCACTCTACCTATCGCACCAGACAATCTAAACATTCCACTCCATCTTCTCCTATCACATCCTCTCCTACTGCTCATATCCATCTGCTCCTCAAACATCTATTCCCTCTTCACCACATATGAAAACCTTGTCTTGGACCTCCCCACCCAACTCCCCTCCAGAAACTCTGAAGACACCCAAAACTTCCTAAGATGACCCAAGAGAATGCTCCACTCCCTTATCCACCCTCTAAACGCTCTCTTCCTATTTGTTCTACATTCCAAGTATTTGCCAATATCCATCCTCCTCCTCCTCCTCCTCCTCCTCCTCCTCCTCCTCCAAGTTCCCCCTACCCCTCTTCCTCCCACTCATCCAAAAAACACCTCATCCTCTTATCCTGAATGTGCATCACCATTTCCTCTTTTTTCTTCCCCTTTATTCTTACCACTCACATCGAGATGCTCATAAGACTCCCTTATGCCAGAACAAGGTCCTTCATTGGATCCCTCCCTTCCAGACATTCTTCCTGATACTTCACCACCTTCCCCTGTAACCTTGTCTCATTCTCTGGATTCTTCTCCTACTTCTACACCAATCATTTCTTACTGTATCACCCTTTGATTGTTTCATAATGGCTTTTTTTTTTCAGTTTTCCTCTCCCTTCCTCAAACACATACACTCCAGTTGATCTGATCGCCCTATACCTTTAACCATCCCATTTTACAAATCCCCACCGTATTCCATTTGCTCCCCCTCTGTACCCTTTTCACTACTATTCTATCTTAGTGTTCTACAACCTTTGAAATTTTATCCTGATCGTTAACTCATTTTCACCCTTTCTGCCACAGTACTTTACCATAGTGCTATATGACCTTTGATGTCTTGCACATTTATTTCTTCCATCCATTATCTATCAGGAAGGGGAGATATTAGCTTTACTAATTACCCATTTTTATTAAGATTACAATTGTTTGAAAAAGATCAATGGGTACCTTATTTAACCATATTGCTGTCCAATTATTGCTTCTAGTAAGCAGGGTTACAAACCAAATGGGGCACAGTGGGTAGAGCCTTCTCTAATATTTTAAGTTGACAGAATCTGTAGTGTTTTACTACTTTGTATTATGCACATGTTCATATAATTTTATATTCCATGCGACGATAATTATTGAAAATCTCATTGGTAACATAATTAAAAATAACATTATTATTAATATGATATTTTCCTTTCAGTGAAAGTTGCTGGTGTCCGCCATCCCCCAAGACGGAAGAGTGCAGAGGAGAGGCCTCGCAGGGACAGTGATAAGGATGTGGAGCAGATTGTAGCAAGGAGGTCAGTTCTCTATTTACATTGCTATAAATTCAGAATGTTTTTTACAGGTAAAATTAATTATGAAACAAAATGTAAGAGATGTTTTCTGACATTGCTAATCTATTTAGTATATAATAACTTGTTGCATCTGGACTCCCTTAACCAACAAGTTGGCCAAATTACAAGCACACTACTGGCTGTTCAGCAATTGTCATTTGCTGTACATCAGTATTCCCAATGTCTTTATTCGCAAAGTTTGATGATGAGTTTTTAACAAACTTTAGAGGATGATATCTGTCTAATGATACACAATTTTCCATAAAATCACACACAGCACCACAACCAGAAATGTGTATTAACACCTGGGTATAACAAGTTCAAAGATTTCAGTTGTGTGTGTCATAATAGGGCATTTGTAAAAAAGCGAAAACAAAAACATACTAATGTTTTGCTATTTTTTATTCTAGCCCCCTGAAGCCTCCGACTACAGTTGCACCTGTGTTAGGGAACTTGGAAAAAGACTACCCAATAGCAGCTGTGAAACACACACATGAAAAACCTGTGCCAACACACACTCCCCGTAATACTGCAAATGTTGCCCCAATTATCCAGCAGCCAAGGAAGTAGAAAGTAGTTTTATGATGGAGCTATGTGCATCCAAGCCATCCTAGATTATTCTCCTCATTTCAGGTGGTCTGAGTGCTGTAAACCTGTATTCAGGGCTCAAATGATAAACTACAGGGATTTTTTTTTCTTTTTCTTTTTTTATTCATGATATTGGGTATAGAACAGTCTTGGGTAAATAGGTGATACAATAGTTTTGATTTTAATTTATATCTCCAAGTGTAAGAGAAAATTCTCTCATTCGCTCAAATAATCAGGATAATGTGATATATTAGTATCAGATAGAGCTTAGAAATGGAGATTTTTTCTGTGTGACTGAAAATTGTTAGGTGCTGTAAGAAATATGGGTTATCATAATAGAAAGTGATGTACTTATAAATGTGGTGGTATAATGTGACTACAAGTACAAACAGTTGTGGGTTTGTGATATATAGAACTTTTACATAAAGAAAAAATTCATGGGATAATGAAACTTTTCCACTTCTAGTTCTCACTATCATTATTTGTTTTTTCCTTCTCTTTCCCAAGAGAAGGAAAAAATGTCTTGATTTTCATATTACATCTTTATTTAATCATCATCAGCAGGAGGAACAACTTACTCAAACAAGAAAGCAAGCCTGCCCCCTTTTATCCAACAAGCACAAATAATAGAACTTGGTGTGTGCGGATAGATTAAGAAGTGATTTAAAACTGATTGGGTTGTATGTAATTCAGGCAAGCTCTTAAGGAAGTCTTCTGTTGATCCTTT